AAAAAAAAAAAAAAAAAAAAAAAAAAAAAAAAAAAAAAAAAAAAAAAAAAAACAGCCAACAATAAAAATGGAGACTCGTTGAAATTACAAAAAGTGGAATTTGCCTATTGTAACGACCCAAGACCACTGCTAGCAAATATTGTCCTCTTTGGGCTTTCTCTTTCGGGCTTCCCCTCAAGGTTTTTAAAACGCGTCTGTTAGGGAGAGATTTCTACACCCTTATAAAGATGCTTCGTTCTCTTCTCCAACCGATGTGGGATCTCACACTATGTTAAGAGCCTATGTTAAGAGCTTGTAGCCTTGAGTACATTTCTAGCCTGTAAACTTCCAATCTTGAAAATCTTACTCCAATGACTTCAAAAATAAAAGAAGTGTGAGAGGATTTCTTTGGCTCCATGTTTAGGCTTGTGATAATGAATATATTTTGCTATTTTTTTACTTTCTCGTTTGAGTGGCCAAAAAATTCTTCGCCATTCTTGAGGATTGCCTTGCACGGGCTACGCTTATTGGTTCTCCACTTTAAAACTCAACTGAAAGCATCATCTATAAGACCAAAGAAGAAGAAGAAGAAAAAAGAAAAAAAGAATTAGAAACAAATCTGGATAATCCCAATGTTTCTAGCAAAAGTTGGCCTCTTGATGGTACATTATTCGAAGTTATTACAAAGAACCATTGAAGAATGTTTCAACAATATATAGATGGCATTATGATAATGTTTTTCCAGGCTACTTTTTTCTGTTGCAGTTCTTTCATCTTCATTTTGGATCCCCTGATTGATTATTTGATCTTTGCATACTGATATCTCCTGCACTTACAGTCCTCATATCCTGTTATATTCATATAGAATTCTTTCTATGTTAATTAGTCTTCAGGATGGTTTGGTTTAAAAAAAGTTGTTTTAATATGGTAGAACCTTTTGAAACTTACAGCAGAGATTAAGTAGAGCCACCGGAATGACAATGGACTGGCAAAGTGCACCTGCGAGTCCTAGTTCGCTCACCGTGAAGAGAATTCTACGTTTGGAAATACCTGTGGATACTTACCCCAATGTAAGTTCTGTCGAAGTACAGATGTTTTTTGTTTGCTGGTCATACGCTAGCCGGTTTGTACGACCTGTACGTACACAAACCTATATATTAATACTTGAAGTTTCTGCTCTTTGTGGATGTCAGTTCAATTTTGTAGGGCGACTTTTGGGTCCTCGGGGCAATTCCTTGAAACGTGTGGAAGTTACTACAGGTTGTCGTGTATACATTCGAGGGAAAGGGTCCGTAAAGGATCCAGACAAGGTACTATAAGGGTATCTCTAATTTGGAATCAATGTATCACATGATGGATCTCTCAAGAATCAAGACTATTGTAGAGATATTTTGCTTCTCTCATTGGATTGTTATCATTCTGTTGAGCAGTAGTATTGGTTATAAATTGTATTCGTACTTAATTTATTTAACTTTTACATTGTCAAGGAAGAGAAGTTACGGGGACGACCCGGCTACGAGCACTTGAACGAACCACTGCACATCTTGATTGAGGCAGATTTACCAGCCAATATTGTTGATATAAGGCTCAGACAGGCACAAGAAATTATTGAAGAACTGCTCAAACCCGTGGTATATTTTCTTACCTTGGTTACGTTTTTCGAGCGATTTTGGCTGGCCAAAGTCACTCTTTTCATGCTCAAAAGTACTTCCCACTAAAATCATCATGTTGTGGAAGAAATTTATAAGCATACACCTTTATATTTATTTTACTCAAAGCCTTGTTCTATTACTCATTTACTTGTTTATGAAACTAAAGTTGCCTTCAAGTACCTTTCTTGAATCAATGGGTCAAGTTATCATCTTACCTACGTTAATCATCAACCCCTCATGGATTTCTTGCATTCCACGTCCTTTGATGCAATCGGTTCAGATTTTTCTTTTTTCTTTTCCCCGAACACGCTGTGTTCTAACAGACTCCTGATTCTTCTGGCATATGAATAATCAACTTGCAGGACGAGAGCCAAGATTACATAAAAAGGCAGCAGCTACGCGAACTCGCTATGCTAAATTCAAGTTTCAGAGAAGACAGTCCAGGACCTGGTGGTAGCGTCTCTCCATTCAACTCAAGCGGAATGAAGCGTGCCAAAACAGGTCGTTAAGTGCTCATATCCTTTCTTACCTTAAAGAATTTCTACCCCAGTCCAGAATTCAGTCACTTGTATAACTCGATGTGAATCTGACCGACCGTGTGACCGACCGTGTGACGTAGCTAGGAGTAAGGGGAGGCGTAACTTCAGTTCCAGGTGAGCCTTCTCTCTGTGTTCCTGAGTGTAGGTTTGAATAGGTCAGTTTTTCCAACAAAGTTAATATATTCATTGGATTTATTCTTGTGTTAGGGACTGCTGAAGAGTGTGTAGTTTTACATTATTAATGCAAAAACATTAGGAAGTGATGAATGTAATATTGTTTGATATTTCTTAGGTGTTGTAATGTAAAAGCAATGTCAGTGTCAATTATATTTTTGGAATGATATATGAAAGAACAGTGCAAAAACTCAATCAATGTGCTTCTCAGTTTGTGTTTGCTATCAAGTTTCAGAATATGATTCTCCTCTCTTTTTTTCCATTTGCTGAAAAAGTTGTGAACATATGCCTCGACTTTTCCGACACGTACTGTTTAGTTGTTCTCGATGTACTTTTTGCTATGTTTTTGGACCATTAAGAGTGTAGGTGGGTCGGTTTGGATTGACTTTTGAATAATCTTGTGATTGAATTGAGACTTTGGTTCAATGACTGGATTAAGTTTGACTGATAAACTCGTAAAGCTAGCATAAATCGTCATTCCTACTAACTTAGATATTTTTTTTGGATGTCAATTCGAACTAGCGACCTCAGGATGGCTTTGGGATTCTTCAACCACTACAGTCCTCTGTTTTACTAACTGAGCTAAGGTCGGGTTTCTATAATTATCTCATACCATAGTATAAACAAAATCGACAAAATTAATATATATATAATTAATAAAAATATTCCTAAACCGTTAAAATAGTTTCAATAATATCCTTAAAACATATAACATTAACCTCTCGAAAAATCCGACCTACCAGATTCAAACCAGTGACCTAAGGATGGCTTTGGGGTTCTTCAACCACTACAGTCCTCCGCTTTACAAAATTAATCTAGTATAAACAAAATCGACAAAATTAATATATATATATATAATTAAATTAATAAAAAAATCTCTAAATCGTTAATAATATTCTTAAACAATATATATACAACATTAACCTTTCAAAAACTCCGACCCTAGTATAATTATCTCATACCCTAGACGTATACATTAACCTCTCAAAAAATCTGACCTATCGGATTCGAACCAGTGACCTAAGGATGGCTTTTGGGATTCTTGAACCACTACAGTCCTCCGCTCTACCAACTGAGCTAAGGTCGGATTTCTATAATTATCTCATACTCTAGTATAAACAAAATTGACAAAATTAATATATAAAAAAATTAAATTAATAAAAATTTTCATAAATGGTTAATAGTTTCAATAATATCCTTAAACATATTATACATTAACCTTTCAAAAACTCCAACGACCTAAGGATGGCTTCGAGATTCTTCAACCACTACAATCCTCCGCTCTACCAACTGAGCTAAGGTCGGATTTCTATAGTTATCCCATACCATAATATAAACAAAATCGACAAAATTAATATATAAAAAAATTAAATTAATAAAAATATTCCTAGATTGTTGCTAGTTTCAATAATATTCTTAAACTTGGTCGGAGGAGATTTTGAGGCATTTTACGTCGGAATACACATGATTTTGCTGAGTAATACACACAGAAAATATAATAATAAAATAATACAACATGAAAGTAGATAAAACGGTTTGACATAACATGGGTATGCGGTCACACGCAACACGTCCTGAACAAGCATGACCATGACACCAAGCAGCTTCTTGCAATCTTTGCGAGTTGTTTCACTAGTCATATGTTTGAACTCGATGCATTCACAATCTTAGATCAAACCTTTGTTTACAAATGAACCATCTTTGTAGCGTTGGATTAGCAACCGGGATCGTTGGGATTAAACCCTCGAATGGCTTGATCAAGTTGAAAGAAGATGGATCCGAAATTTGAAACCCTCAACAAGCCACCTCCCACATTGTTGAACGCCATGACTCGAGGGCTAGCAGTAACATTGATTGGGATTGAACTCATGTGGTGTTGAGACGTTTGACCAATGTTCTCGGTAGCATGATGTTTAGTTCGTTGAAGTCCCACGTTGACTAATTGGAGAAGAAGATTATGGATAAGTTAGGGACATTACTTCAATTAGTATGAGACATTTTGAGAAACTTAAAACCAAAACCACGAGAGTCTGTACTTAAAATGGACAATATCATACTATTATGAAGATTCCTTGTTCATATTGCTGGTATCAGAGTCATGCCTTGATCATAACTTAATCATGTCAATAGAATTCTCGAGCATTGAACAAAGAAATTATGAGATTTGAAGTTGTAGTGATGTATACTCTTAAGAAGATCAGTCGTCTAGGTAGTGCTAGACGGATAAATATCATTATTTAAGGGGAGACTCAATGCAATATTTTGTTCGAGGAAGATGGCTAAGGATTGTTGGAGTTCCACGTTGGCTATTTAAGAGAAAAATTATGAGTAAATAAGCAAGGGATACTATCTCAATTAGTATATAACATTTTGGGAAAATCAAAAAGCAAATCACGAGAGCTTATACTCAAAATAAAGATTATCATATCATTGTAGAAGTCCGTTGTTCGTGTGACAACGCCTTTCTACAAGAACTTGGTTGGTGTCATTCTGGCTTTGTCTCCATTGCTTTGCTTGTAACAGTGAGAAGTTTTAATGCTTATGAAAACAAAAAATCCTTTCTTTTTTCTTTTTCTTATAATTACTAATTTTAGGGTGGTCGAGTTAGATCGAGTTGGGTTGAGATTAGATATATCTATGGGGTGGAGCGGCATTCTCCGTCCACATCCATGTCACCTATTTCTTCTTTATTCCTACTATAATTTTCATTTTATTTTTGCAGAAAACGACTCTCTACAAATATTTAGTACATACGAAAGCAAGATATATATATTAGTTATAAGATTCTTTACAATGATGTGAAAACATCTCTCTAGCAAACGCGTTTTAAAAACTTTGAAGGAAACAAAACATTTTTTTTTTACATCGGGAACGAAACATTCTTTACAATAGTGTGAAAACCTCTCCCTAATAGACACACTTTAAAAACCTTAAGGGAAACGAAGCATTCTTTGCAATGGTATGGAAACCTCTCCTTAACAGACACGTTTTAAAAACCTTGAGGGAAACGAAGCATTCTTTACGATGGTATAGAAACCTCTCCTTAGCATACACGTTTTAAAAACCTTGAGGGGAACGAAACATTCTTTACAATAGTGTGAAAACCTCTCCCTAGTAAACACGTATTAAAAATCTTGAGAAACCTAAAAGGAAAATTCCAAAGGAAATAATATCTACGTTGAACAGTATTGAAATTTTAAAAATATAAAAAAATTATTCAAAATATAAGAAAAGTAATCTAAAATTCCTAAGGTATGAAAAGATAAATCAGAACCCCTATGGTATAGAAGAACTTAAACATACACCTCTAGAAATTGGCCGCTCCCTCCCTCTCCTCTTTCCCTTGCAAATTTGAGTCAAAACCACAGCCATGAGTTGCTCTTTAAACTCATGTGTGTGCTACAATTCAAAAATGTGTATCCCATTGCAAGCAGCAGCAGCAGCATGCCGCAGCGACCTGCCAAAATAATTACAAAGACGACGAACCCGCTTGCTCGCTCGTCATCTAACTGCCTCTGGTGCAGAGTTGCAGTAAGGCGTGTGCAAGCAAACCAGCTTGGTGCACATCAAACACAAGATAGCGAACCCCAAACCAAGCACAAGTCCGCTGCTACTTTTCTGTGTATCCAATTGCATTGCTCTTTTGATTATACTTCCGAAGCTCGGAAGTAACCCTCCACAAGCCAGCACCATCACGTGATCTAACCCGCTGTAGTCGATACCTGCAAGTATGGCTCCAATGGCAGAGATTGGACCAACGAATCCAATGAGGGCTGCGCTGATGAGAGATCCATGCCAGTTATCAGTTGCCCCAAATACACAACTAGCTACTGCTGCGCCCCGAGGGAGGCCATGTAGAGAAACAGGAAGAACCATGTGACGACCGAATCCGTAAGCCTTCGGTGCAGCGACTCCTAGTGCAAGCCCTTCGGCTAAAGCATGAAATGCAACTGCTCCACATGATAGGAAAGATTGAAGGGTGTGCACACTTACTGAAAAATTAGTTGAAGCAGGTAAATCATTCACTGAAGCTCTTTTCCCGCCAGCAAGCTTCAGAAGACTGGAATTCGAGAAGTGGACGAGTACCGCTCCTAAAATCAAAAGCATTACGAGAGGGATGAAATCCATTTTTGAAGAAAATAGTAGCTGCATCGGTCGCCAGGCACCGAGGATGAAAGCAATCCCAGAAGCAGCACCCATGAGAAGGGCATGCTGAAGATGGAAAGCAAGAGCAAATGCAACTAGAACAAGACCACCGAGTAGTGGTCCGACGCCAAAAAGTAAGGAAACAAAGAAGCCAGAAACAACTTCAGAGCTGAAATACAAAAATATCGAATCGATCAATTGGAAGAAAATAGCAAGGACAACTACATAGTCGAGTATTCGGAATGATATTAAGCCAACTTTTACACACAACCAGCATGCACTTCTGATCATTTTTTTCTTGCAAAGACGGATCAAACGATATGAAGTTCAAATATTTTAAAAAGACGGATCAAACTCACTTGTATTCACGGGTGAAACTCTGGAACAATGTGCCTAGAGCTTCCATGAACGCCACAGAAAGTGTGGCTGCGGATGCAACTTGTGATGGTGAGGCTTCCTGTCACCATAAAGCAGAGAAAACCAAAATTACTATCCCAGCAGTTAAATAACTCTTTAGCAGTAAACCCACTTCATATGATTCCAAATTCCCCCAATCTTTTAATATAACACAAACTTCTTGAATAAACAAAATAGAAATTAAGACAGAGCAGAAATAGTATACAAACACCAGATAAGCAGTCCAATAGATGCTCGCCTGTTTGATATTAAAGTAACAAAACTATTATACATGAATGAAGCAAATTTTAACATCATCGCACAAAGTTCTCACTAATAGCATAAAGCTAAACTTTACACAGTTAAAACTTCATTTTCAAGAAATAAGAATAACGAACAGTTAAAAAAAATATCACAAGAGGTTCAAACTCGGGCTCAGACAATTTAGAATATCACAAGAGTGACCACAATTCGACTACTGAGCCATGGAAATGTTCAATGATAGTCAGATCTTTCTTTTACGGATAACTAGGCATCAGGAGCCTCATTCTCTTGCATGTACTTTTGGCTAACTCCCTTTGATCTATGGTTAGGCTTCACCCACCCCAATGCCAGTTTTCGGACAACAAGAGTTTTAAGTAGATAAATTTTCAACTTGGGAGCTCAAACTTAGGACCTTGCGGAGCTAGTGCATCTCGAAAATTCCTAAGACCTTGTGGAGCTAGAGTATCTCCAAAATTCCTAAGTTCATGCCACCCAGACACCCCTAAATAGTTCTATTTAGAAGAATAAGTTAAATGTAAATCATTTTTAGGGCAGAAAATTTAGACCCCCTCAAGTTTCTCATTCTACATTCCAGGTTGATAGGGAAAAAACATGAAATTGACGATCTTAAAGCTGAGAGTACCTTAAATGCATCTGGGAGTACTTCTGCGATCACCATCCATATCATACATCCAGCAGCAAAGCCCGTACAGAACGGAAGGAACTTATTAAATGCATCAGCACATATGAAAGAGGGAACTGCTACAATAGGCTGAGACATTTAAATTGCAACAGAGTTAAAAACTCAAATTATACAACCGCATTTAAGGAGAGACAAAATAGAATTTTTCATGACAATCACAACATTAAGCACTAACTTACAGTACAATAAATTGTAGATTCTCTGGATAGTTATTAGAATCTATTGACGTGACGGGTAGATAACGGAGATTATGGATTAAATATAATGAAAACATTCAAAGAATAAGCATTTGATAATGTAATGGGCTATCCAACATGCCACCCAGGCACATGAACATTCATTATGAAAAATAATTAAAACTGTTCTGAACGAAATCAAACCACTGAGTTTGGATATCGAATCTGGCTAAGATGTCAAAGCATACCAAAAAAAAGATCACTCCAAAACAATCTAAAACTGCTGACTGTAGGATTGTCTTGTGCTTTTGAACATATAAATTCTTGTCTACATGGCATAATGTTCTTTTCATAGAGGATAAACAAGTTAACATTTTATAAATGCAATACCTGCGGTAATGATGTAATCATACTCCATAATAAGGCATTCTGTGGTGAGACACCCCTTGAGGCAAGAACCATACTTACAGCTAATCCCTCAGGTATATTATGCACAGCGATAGCTAAAGTCACCAAAAGACCTTGAGAGAAACCCTTTGACCCAGCAAAAGAAACACCAACACCAGAGCCCTCACCAAATGAATGAAGAGTCATTATGCCAATTATAAGAACAACTTTAGTTGCATCTGCACCTTTTATATCCAACATACTCACTTCACCATACTGTTCAAGAAACTGAAAATCAACATAAAACAAGAAGAAATGAGATCTTGATGCATTAATCAAATGATTGGGATAACAAATGGATAAAAACACGGGTTTAAAACAAAACAGCAATATACTGAGCAGATTAACTTTAAGTATACTATGCAAAAGATAAGGTATGAACCGACATTCCATCTTGTTTTATATTAAAAGGAAAAAAAAAAAAAAAAAGCATGATAATTTAAGACTCCTCCACATTAACATTCGGCAAAAGTAGAGAATGCCCAAGAAGCAGCAATCAAATTTACATGGTAAAATCTTAAGGGCTAGGATAAAATAATATAAAAGTCGAAAGATAGGGTCCATCACCTTCTTACAAAGCCAAATAAAAATTCCACCAGCCAAAATCCCAATTACCACCCAATTGCCGGCACCATGTTCCTGCCCTTCTTGAATAAGATCAAAGCTAGCAGACAACATCACCCCAGAAGCCATTCCATTGCATATACCAGCCCATTGTGGATCGAGTTCCACAAAGAAGAATGGAACAGCACCTAAACCAGTGGCAGCAGCCATGGCTAATGTAAATACTGCAACAGTCGCTACTGAAACTCTACTCCCTCCTTTTCTCTCATGCAGCAACAAACTCTCTGTACCAGAGCCATCGATAACTTTTATTCCATCTTTATCTGGGGCAGATATTATCTTTTGTGAATTCCCTTGTTCAAACTCAGCTATAGCACGACCACAGAACAATAAGGACAGTAGAGAAAACAGCAGAACATGCTTAAAAGCCACTTTCATTTTTTCTTTCTCAAGCAGATTTCACTCAGTGATTACAACTTCATGAATTGGACGGATGAACAGTAATCTTCTCACGGAGATAATTAAGAACACAAATTTGCCCAATCTCCCAAGCACCCGATAGAACGGTCTTTACTACTTCACCACAATCCTAAAAGAGCATCAGACACTGTTTCCTAGTCAAGGAGCTTATAGCATAAAACTTCCAGGAGCTGCAGGCATCCTTCACTTCAAAATTTTAAAAAACCACCTTCTCTTGTTAGATTAACGCTAGGGAGACGCCTTTCAGCTATGCTGTGCATCAAAGAACGATCATAAGAATAAAAAGTTTGTTACAACATTATCTACCAAAAATGAGAAAAAAAAAATACAAAATTTCTCGAACCATGGTGTTTATGATCTTCACTTTCACAGTGTCAACCGAGATGCAAGTTGAGTACATAAATCAAAATAGACACACCATGAATGGTATTCGTATTTCTAAATCATAAGAGATACTATTAGCAGATCCAATTGTTAAAAAAAAAACGAAGATAAAGAAAGCAGGGCAATAAAAAAAAACAAAGAAGTGTTGAGATAGATTCACCTAAAAGGTAGCCAATCTAATCGTCCATGGAATATTACTGAACTTTACATCAACAGACTCATACAAATTCGCAAAAACCTTCTCCAAAATAAAAATTAAATAACACAAAGAAAATGCGGGGACAATGCGAAGGACAATAACCATCCATCGAAAATCCCTTCCACAAAATACAAAAAGAAATGGTTTACAGAGGATGATCAATGGACGCAAACCACAGAGTCAACAACAATCCCATCATTAAATGTACCAAAAGAATGAACAGCTATCAAAATGCTAGACATTATTCCACAATATCCCAATTTTTCATTGAACAAAAGCAACGCTAGAATCAACCAATTCTTTGATCAAACCCACCAAACAGAATTTCCCAACACCGATATAGGCATTTCAAACAATTCCTTTAAAGAATGACCAGAAAAATAAAGAAGGGAAGAAACGCATTCTTGAATGAAATTGAAGGCAATGAACACAATGCAAACAGAACCCTAACAAGTTGAAATTGAAACAAGAACAGACATGGGAATTACAGATGAATCAAAGGCGAAAAACTAAAAAGGAAGGAAGGGGAAATTGAACTTACATTGAAGAATTGGAGAAATGAAGAACAAGAAATGGCGGTCCCCAGACTTCAAACTTTGGGCGAATGAGAAAAAGAGCGGTTTTCTTCTTAACGTGGTTGGTGGAATAATAGGAAACTTCACCTCACCGCCGATCTTAATTTGGGACAAAAATAACCCCCTTCAAAAATTTATATAATTTATGGTTTAGTCCCTCAACTTTCAAATATTTCAATTATGTCCCTCAATTTTTATTAAATTGAATGTGAGTATAATATAGCTTAATAATATTATCCATTTTTTTTTAATTTAAAAAAAGGATATTTCAGGAAGGAAAATATAAGGTTAAATATTGGTTCGGTTTTTTATTAATTTTTTTTTATAGATATTTGAAATTTTTATTTTTATTTTTAATATATTTTAAAAAATTTTGTAAATTTCTATTTTAATAAATATTTTGTTTAAAAAAGGTTTATTTTGTAACTATTATTTATCCTATTTTTTTTTTTTTTTTTAATGAGAACATTTGAATTGGAATCTAAATTCTAAAAATAAAAACAAATTTTGAAAACATTTTAAAAAAAAGTGTTCTTGATAAATTTAATTTAAAAAATAATAATTATTCACCAAAGTTAATAATATTTTAGACATTTAAACGAATAAATTCAATATATCAAATATAAATTTTAAATTTTAGTAAGGGAGCACATAAATTAATCTAAAAATTAAATATATTAAAAATCTATTAAATACCAAATTGATTTAAATTTTATTTAGGGAGCACATAAATTAATTTAAAAATTAAATATATTAAAAATCTATTAAATACGAAATTCAATTTAGAAATATATTCAACTTTAAATATGGATTAGGAAGAATTATATATAATTTAAATGAATTAATTTAAGGAAAAAATCTAGAATTGGAAATATTAAAAAAATAATAAAAATTAGAGAGAGAAAAACAGCACACTGTTTTGATCCAAAACAGACGACTTTTGAGTCCCATTTTGTGTTTTTTATTTAGTCAACGGAATAATATGGAAAAAGAATATTCCATATTTGTCCCATTTACTTCTTTTTTATTTTTATTTTTAACTATTTTTTCCTTAGGAGTGTTTAAAAAAAATTAAGTAATAAAAACTCCATAATTTTTTCATATGAATTTATTGTTAAATTTTAAAATATATTTTTTCCATGCATATATTTATTTAATTTTATAGTTATTTTTTTAATATTTATATGAAATTGAGTCGAAAATAAGTAAATAAATTTTTTACAAATCAAATTTTATTTTTATTAAAAATAAAAATTTAAGCAAATGAATCAAATAACTCGAGGAAGAATCCTAGTTTTGAAATTTAGCTATTAGCTTATAAGTTAACTTTTAATTAATTAATTAAAAATAATTATGAAACATTTTAAATTAATTTTAATATTGATGAAAAATTAGTAATATTATTTTAAAATTAATTAATAAAAATAACATCAATGACAAAAGTGAGTAATTAGTGCAAAGAACAATGCTCCCATTTTAAAATCTAAGAATTAAATTAAAAAAAAATGTTAATCATCAAAATTAGAGTAAAAACTAGACTATTTATTATTATTATTTTTTTAATTTTCGAGATATTTTCTCATTTAATTTTAAGTCAACTATACCAATTTAATGACTATAAATGAGTCAACTTATGTATTTTAATTACGCAATTACTCGTATAAAAAAATCAACTGCATTAATTTTATCATTCAAATTATATATATATATATATATATAATTAAAAGATATATTACACATAAAATTAAATTATATGCTAATTATTAAATTTCTAAATTGGTAGCCTAGTGAAGGTTCAAATACCTATTACAAAAATAAATTAAAAGTTAAAATATATATTAATATTTGGTGATTTTAAAAAAAATTTAATTTCATTTTACTATTGGGCTTTTAATTGAAATTTTTATAGACAGAAATCTCAGTTTAAACCGAGAATGGAGAGAGATTAAAGAGAATTTTCTCTTTTTCTCCTCATTAGCTAATCAGAATTGAAGACCGGGATTAGTTAGCCGTCCCCAACCCTATCCAATTTCCTACCACATGGATATCTCTACTACGATGTTCGGTTCGCCAATTTGTTATATATATATAAGGAGAATTTTTTCATTTTCTCTTCATTAGCTAAACAAAATTGAGACGGGATTATGTTAGCCGTCTTTGACCCTATCCAATTTCCTGTCACATGGAGAATTTCCTGACGGAGATTATGTTAGCTCTCTCCAATCCTAAAAGGAATTTTTTTTTTTAAATTTTCTCCTCATTAGTTAAATGGGATTGAGGACGGGGATTATGTTAGCCATCTCCGACCCTATCCAATTTCCTGACAGGGATTATGTTAGCCGTCTCCAACCCTAAAAGGAGAATTTTCTGATTTTCTCCTCCTTAGCTAAACGGGATTGAGGACGGGGATTATGTTAGCCATATCCGACCCTATCCAATTTCCCGCCACATGGAGAATTTTTTTACGGAGATTATGTTAGCCATCTCCAATCCTCTCCGACTTTAAAAGGAGAACTTTTTTATTTTTTCTTCATTAGCTAAATGGGATTGAGGACGGAGCTCCGACCCTATCCAATTTCGTACCACATGGATATCTCTACTTACACGATGTTCGGTTCGTGAATTTGTTAATGTATATATATATATACTGAGTTGAACTCTCTTCATAGGCCACTTTTCTAAACTTTGTATCAGAAACATTGGCTAAACATGTTGGGATTTGTAACAACACAGTTACAACTAACAAGCATCAAGCAAGCAGTAAGCACAACTATGTTAAGCAGAAGCCAAACCGAATGTCAGCGAGGGGCGATGGTTGGGACGACGCCGCTGATGAGATCACTCCCCGAAATGCTTCCCGATGCAAACCGGTCTCGGGTGATGCAGGACGACGTCGAAACCGGTGAGGGAAGACCGGCACTTGATCTCAGGGACGGGTCTGAATACAAGGCGCCACTGTCGTCAGGCATCATGTACAGTATGTTCTCCAGCTCCCTCACTACAACCAGCATGGATGGCCGCTCTTCTGGCTTGTCATGGCAACAACTGAGGGCCAAAGCAACAAACCTTTCTAAACACTCAGATGCGAAAGAACCCAACTTGGTGTCTACAATTGAAAGAATCGTTCCCATTTGATGTGCCAATTTGACCTGATATGTAAACATAGCATGTTAAAAGTAGAGAAAAGAAGTAAAGCTTATACTTTCTAAAAGTCTTCAAGTCCCGCTAGCAGATATTGTCTTCTTCGGACTTTTTCTCAAGGTTTTTAAAACGCGTCTACTAGGGAGAGGTTTTCACACCCTTGTAAAGAATGCTTCGTTCCCTCTCCAACCGAGGTGGGATCTCATGATCCACCCCCCTTACAGCCAGCATCCTCACTGGCACTTGTTCCCCTCTCCAATCGATGTGAGACCCCCCAATGCACCCCCCTTCGGGGCCCAGCGTTCTCACTAGCACACCGCCTGGTGTCCACCCCCATTTGGTGTTCAGCCTCCTTGCTGTCACATCGCCCGGTGTCTGATTTTGATACCATTTGTAATAGCTCAAGTCCGCCACTAGCAGATATTGTCCTCTTTGGGCTTTCCTTTCCGGGCTTCCCCTCAAGGTTTTTAAAATGCGCCTGTTAGGGAGAGGTTTTCACACCCTTGTAAAGAATGTTTCGTTCCCCTCTCTAACCGATGTGGGATTTCACAATCCACCCCCCACGCCCCCTTCGGGGTCCAGCGTCCTCGCATGCACTCGTTCCCCTCTCCAATCGATGTGGGACTCCCCAATCCATCCCCTTCAAGTCCTAGCGTTCTCGCTGGCACACCGCCTGGTGTCCACCCCCGTCGGAGTTCAGTCTCCTCGTTGGCACATCGTCCAGTATCTGACTTTGATACCATTTGTAACAGCCCAAACCCATCGCTTGCAGATATTGACCTCTTTGGGTTTTCCCTTACAGGCTTCTCCTCAAGGTTTTAAAACGTTGTCCTCTAGAGAGAGGTTTTCACACTTTCATAAAGAATGTTTCATTTCCCTCTCCAACCGAGGTGGGATCTCATAATAACCATATAAGCAAGCACAAAGTTTTGATTAAGAATATGAGACGTAGAAGACAAATGGTGGAAGAAAATATACCTCACGAACAATGTTTTTGCCGAAAGATATAGGGTGCATTCCCGTCAAGAGCTCCAATAACACAACTCCTAGGCTATAGACATCACTTTTATCCGTTAATTTACGGGTTAAAAAGTACTCTGGATCAAGATAACCCTGCATAATACATAGAACACTCAGAAACAGGTATTCACTCATCATGGCACTGAACAATGACAACCAGATATTGATTTTGCAAATTACAAGGCACGACTTAAGAAAGATCAGATGGACAAAAAAACATCATGGGACATTCCCATAAATTTGGGATGCTTTATGTATACCATGTTCATCAAGATAAACTTACTGGGGTACCCTTCACAACAGTAGATATATGTCCAGGAACATCCCCTTCGAAATCTAGATCGGGAGCAAGACGTGATAACCCGAAATCAGCTACTTTGGCTGTGAGCTTGGCGTCGAGGAGTATGTTTCTAGCTTTGATGTCTCGGTGAAATATAGGAGGATTTGCTTCAGTATGGAGATACAGTATACCTTTAGCTGAACCCAGTGCAATTTGTAATCTCATACGAAAATTCAGATTTACGGTCGTTCTGCTTTTGGCTGCCGTAGAACAGTAGAGGTTAATGATGCAACTAAAACGTCATAAAAGAAAAACTCGAATAATCTTACGCCATCATGCTGCGGAATTTGATATATATATATATTTATATACATATACATATATATATACATATATAAAAGCAAGGAATAGATGAACAATGTTCATAACATTTTTTCTGCACACAATAAAAAGGTAAGAAATTCTTATTTCACCATTTGAAAGTCTTGAAAATAAGGGTAAAG